TATTAACTGAATTTATGTAATTTCTCTCACTTCTTATTTCTGTGACCTTGGACAATGTACCTAACCTCTCTAAACTTCCATTCTTTCACTAGAATTTTGTGCTGATTAAGTATATGTGCACCATTTATTATTTGGTTCTAGGAACAATCTGTTCTGATAGGTATGCTGTTAGCAGAAATGAAAGTTTGATTTCTAGTAGCTTTCTCTCTAAAATCCTGTCTTCTGTAATCTTGGAGGGTGTCTGTTCTCTGCCCTGGTGCCTCCATACTATGCCACAGTGTGTTATACAGTATCTGCTTACTTGTCTCTTCTGCCTCCATTAAACTGTAAGCTTAATGGGAACAAAAACCATGTTTGTCTTACTGTTATTACCTAGCACCTAGTTTGTACTCAGTAAATATTTATTGGAATGCCAGGAGACTGAGGCTGGAGGATCTCAAGTTCAAAGCTTAGCATGGCATATGTAGTGAAAACCCCATGTAATTCTTTATTAAATCAATGTTAAATTGATTATATAAAAGAAATACCACAAATACGAATGTATTCAAAAGTAGAGCTTTACTTTGACTGTATACCTTTCCGTATATAAATGAGGGTAGACTTCAATGATTGATTCCAACTTTGCTGCTCTCAACCTAGAATGTTCTACTTTTAGATTGCCACAGCTTCCACCTTATGGATATTCCTTCAGGTCTTTATTCAAATGTCAACTTCTCAATTATTCCTACGCTAACTCTACTAATTCTAAACTACCTAATTCTAAATTGCATACCTGTTTTATTGCATATCTGTTTTATTATTCCACAGCACTTTATGGCATTCTAACCTGTATTTTTAGTGTTGATTGTGTTTATGATCTGTTGTTGGCCTCTCTTGCATCCCAGTGGAATACATGCTTTGTTGGTTTTATTCACTGATTCACACCAAGCACCAGGAACTTTGGATGGTGTAGAGTAGGCGGATATTTTAATTGTCTGTTGAATGAATTAATTAATTCAGTGTTTTAGGGCCACCAATTAGATAACAACTGGAAACAAAGTTACTACTAAAGGATAATCAACAAAGAATTAGAAATAAGAAACTTTAGGTTCTGTCTTGAGATGGATTATATATGTTTTTACTTTATTGAATTGAGGGCACTTACTTGCTCCTTCCTAAGCCCTTTTCCCCAGCCTCCAAATTCTGAAAACCTTTCTTGACAAACTTTTCCTCCAGGAGTCCTTCTGAGTAATGTATTGGGAATTATTTCATAAAATGCTATGTGCTTTATATTAAGTCTTTGAAAAGGTGTGTGGGTTCCTAGTATTAAAGGCTTTTTTTAAAAAAAGCTAAACTCTAAAACAAATTACTTCCTTAAATATGCAGATACTAACTTTCCATAGAGCATCAATGCAAAATCTCTACAAGATTTTAATTAAAAGTAATTAAAATATCTATATTAAACACTTCCATTCTACTAGGTTAGTAGTAATTTTTATTTCAAAAAAAAGCTTTATTTTTTCATATGTTAAACATGAAATGCTACATTGCACTAGTACCAGCAGAGAAAATGTGCTGTGATTCTCTGTATTATTTTGCTAATTTTTAATTATAATTATGCTATCACTTAGATATTTGTTTGAATTTTATGAGATCATATAACAAAGTTAAACAAGAACTATAGAAGTGAGGAGTCATTGTATAGGAAGCAACATATTTTTTAAAAATTGAAAGTTTTAATGCTGCATATGAAGAAAAATTTTCACTTTGCTTACTGTTGCTAGCACTCTTTAACTTTTTAACTAATGATATCACAAAATTTACTTAGGAAACTTATGTTAATAAGGTTTTTTTTAAAAAACAAAAAGCAGGGGAGGAAGGAAATAAGTGATTCGTTACTAGGGTGATTCAAGAAGGCCAAATGCTGGAAACTGAAAGCAAGGAAACTTCCAAGTGTTTGTACAGAGGAGAGCTATAATATACAAACCAAGGGGAAGAACAACTGAGAAAACTGGTTATTTTTTTGCTTATATTAGTTAACTAGCTAAGTCATTTGTTTGAAAGAGCCATGGTATATTGCCCAGGCTGGCTTCAAATGCCTGGCCTCTAATAGCCTTCTAGTGGTTAGGGCTAAAGTTGTACACCACCCCATGTAGCAAAACTTGTAGTTATTAGGTAAGTTGAGGTGGAACTCAACTCATATTTATATTTGGGAAAAGAATAGATACAAAGATAAGTACAAACAATGTAAGTGTGAAAATGCATACATGGATTAACCTTTTACCTAGCATGGCAAAAATATCCCCCCTAAACTTGTCATTTTTTTAGTAGTATAATTTTTCAATTGTGTGAAGTAAGAGATTACCGTATGACATTTCTATTCATGCACTTTGGTCATATTCACTCTATTACCCTTTTCTGTCTCCCTACTCTTTTCTCCTTTCATATTTCTAATATAAACTTTTTTTTTTACATAAGACACTAACATGAAGAGAGGAGCTATGACCATGACTCACATTGTGGCATTTTTTGTTCAAATTCTCACACCAAGTCCCCATATTAGTCTCTCAATCTAAATCAATAACATCCCCATCAAGATCACAATCATATAGTGATTCAAGCACAAGAGAACAAGATTCCAAGAGAACTATAGAGGTAAGTAATAAAATTGAAGATGTTATTCCATGTTGTCATGAGACCTAACAAGAATGAGAAGAGGAAGATTCATAGGATTGTCAAAAAGAACAAGACTTTGAAAGTATAAGGAATATGAAATCAACATTTATAATAGCACAGTGGAAGTTTGGTAAACATAAATTAAGTGTGAGTGGATGAAACAGTTTGTTTTTAGGCTCAAAGGTGAAAAAGGTTTTCAGTGAGAAAATGACATGTCTGAAAAACTGATCTAGCTGCTCTGAGTGAGGAAAGGTTAGGGAAAATGCAGTTAAAAGATCATATCATAGTCACTGCAAATAGGTCATGAGGCTTGACTGAGAGGGCAAGTGAGAAGGAATAGAACCCAGAGATGAGACAACAGCGAATCTGTGAAGCTTCGCCCTCAGTGTCAGCTTAAATTCCTTTCTTCAAATAGGACAGTTGGAAATATAATGGAATCTCTGGAAGAATAGGGCACAGAATGGGAAGATGAGACAAGATTTTGTGTGGGGAGCAGGCCTGTGAATGAAACATTGCTATGGTAGAGATTGATAGAAAAGACATAGAGAATTAAGACTGAACTCTTGACACTCAAACTCCATGTTCTTTTATTTGAATATTCCACTTATCTTACCTTCTTCTAAAATTACTGAATCTTCAAGGTACTTTCCTCTGGAAGCAAGTGGTTGATTGTGCAGAGCAAAGTCACCCAAGAGCCACAAATGAGATTACATAGTTTGAAAGGTAGTGAAGTACAGGTAATCTGATTTTGCTGGGGAATGGTGGTTTATATGTAAGACTAGGTCTTCACAGTTCATTCTCATTGGATACCACAGTAAAGACTCTTACATCTACTAAGTAATAAGTGCTGCAAACTACAAATCTGAATTGCTACAAAATAATCACTCGGATATGGTATACTTATTCTTTGACTCCATGTTTACTCATCTTTCCCCTTTCTTAGGATGGTATATATAACCTGGTCTTTTTTTTGTTGATACAAGACTTCCACCAGAGTCTGTGTTCAAGAAGTCATGAGCTCATCTCCCTTTCAAGAGGAGAGACTATAGAAGCTCACTCATGCTGTGAGACATGACTCTTGGGAGCAAATGAAAGCCATGCATACTTGTCTTTAGGTATAGCTACCATATGTTCTGAAACAGTAAAGCAGACTTTGCAAAACAAAACTAATCAGTAGACAGGGTTTGAAGTGAATATCCACTTCCTTTTGAGAAGTTAACACTGCATCATTCTATCTTGATCTCTGATTTTAAACCCTTTTTACTATTAGTCTGGTTCAAGTTCTTAAAAGGTCCTCAGACAAACCAATAAGAGGACAAGTTAAAGCCTGTGTTAAACTAAACTTCCCTGATAAAAAGTATTCTAGATCTGTAGAGGACATAGAAGTTTCTTTCTCTTACACAGTTGTTCAAGAAAGGTATTTTAGATGGGTAGTTAGCTTTGCCTCATATAGCCAGGGTGAGGACCCAGATCCCTTTCATCCAGCTTCTGTACCATCACCAGTGTTTCCACAGCAGCTGCGGTTGTGGCCATATCAAAATTCTAGATCAAGAAAGTTTTTGGTAAAAACAAGTAGCAGAAGTGACCCAAATCAATCACATGCTTATTCCATCATGAGAGACCCAGCCAAATGGCCATACATGACTTTCAAGGAAGCTGAAAATGCATGGTTACAATAACAGACATTTCATGCAGATTTAGCAGTATCCACACCATCATGCAAATAAATCATTACAAAGCAATGAGATAAGTCTTTCAAAGCAATGGGATAAGTCAATAGCTTAACTTGAGTGCCGAGGAAGAGTTTTCATAAGAAGTAAAATTTGAGCAGCCTCCAGAAATAATGAACTGAGAAAAATAGAGAGGTCAATCTATGCAAAAATAAATGTGATAATATGATAATATTAACATGCCCAGGAATAGAGTACAAACAGTATAAAGGTTTTAGAGAACAATAAAAATCTGGTATGCCTGAGCTCATAGTCCTGAAGATGAGAAGTTATAGAAAATGGTGAGAGGAATAGCTAAGGAGTATCTTGGACTTTCTCCTCTAGGTTAGTGCATCAGAAATGCATAAGTGGTAGTAGTATAAGAATAGCCTGGACAGAAAGAGTCTAAATGAGGAGATCAGGTAAGAGCATATTATTGGTGGGTAGTAATGGGAATCAAATCGAAGTGTTCTTGATGGAGATGAGATAAAGAAGAATAAATATCTGAACAACTAAAACTAGTAGAGATGACTGCTTATCGATTTTGTAAACCATATGATTGGTTTTGTCCTTAACCAATACAAGCACAAAAGGAGAAAATGTTTTATTTGGTAAAAATTTTAATTTGTTTTTTAGATACTGAGTTTACAAAACCCACACATCCACATTTCTGGAATTTTTTGAAGGTAAAGGAAAAGAGCAGAAAGTGAATCTAAGGACTGGCTGTCCTGAAATCGTTTTGTGAGCAGGTGTGTAGGAAAATATTGTGTCTTAGCATTATTGAGAACTAATTTATCCCTGTCTAGTCCATGTCGGTATGACTTCCCATGATTCATCAACTTTATCCAACTCCAGAGTAATTCATGTAGTGCTGCAGGATTTTACACAACATACATTCACTTATATTCAGCTACCCCACTGAGTACCTGCTATGTACAAGGTTCTGTACTAGATGCAAAAGACACAACTCTGAAACACATACCCAGGCCTTTAAAAAGATAAGGCTGGAACAATGTAATAGATAGCCATTACAGTTCAATAAGAGTGCAATTATGGGGGAGGGGATACACAATAAGAGGGGTTCACAAAACATAGTGTTCAAGGTTCCAGGCAAAGGCGATAGAATATATGGTACATTTGCAGACTACAAATGTGCGATATTTCCAGAGAGTAGAGTATGAAGATAGGGGAATAAAAAGAAATGAAGCTGTAGTGATAAGCCGGAGCCAAGCCATGGAGAGTCCTTTCAACCTTAAAAATGAACTTGGCAGGGGGTGTGCTGCAGTGGAGTGTCTCAGTGGTAGGTTGCTTGCTTAGCATTCATGAGAAATGGCCTGGATCCCCAGCACTGCAAAGAATAAAAAGTTGGAAACAAGGAGGGTAAGAAAGGGAATAGATTATATTTACATTTTTTAGTGATCTAGCTATGATAAGAGAATGGATTAGAGAATGGCTAATAGTAGTGATATAAATATTATTGTGTAATTTTGCTAGTGCACCTGTAAAATAAATTCCCAAAGGGAAATTTTGTAGTTAAAATGTTTACTTTGAAAATATCTTTGTAAAATAGATTTAGTGTTACATTAAGTTTAATATTAATTATGTTGATCTTTGGTAATCTGCATAAATCTCAATTAAATTGCCATTTATTTGGTAAGAGATCGGTTAAATATGTGTCATTTATATAATTATTGACTTGTCAGATTTATCTCATAAATTATTAGGGCTTTCTTTTTCTATTGAGCCTTTGTCATTTCCTTATTGACTCCAAGGAATCCTTTATAAAGGATGGCTGAGGGTCCTAATTGTATACAGTATATTTTTACTCAATTATCCTTTTATTTTTTTCATTTTGATTACTAAGGATTTTCTTCTTTCATATAAAAGTTTTTCACTTTTATATATCCAAAAATATAAATCATTTTCTACATTCTAGTCTTGTCATGACTCAAGTCTCACTCCACAACTACACATCTATTACCTTTTATTTTCTTTTTGTACTTTTGTGGGACTTTTTTAACTTTGAAATCATAACAGCTGGATAGCTACTTAGGACTTCACACTACAGTGGTTGAACAGTGCAGAGGGCTGACTTGTGGTAGACAATGATTTTTACATAGGGAAACAATCTATTAGGAAAGAAAGTTACCTGTCAGCTAGGTTCATCCAACATTGGAGTTTTTTTCAGGTAAGTGCCTTAAATGGACAATGAGGCATAGCAGATTAGAAAACACAATGACATGTGGACCATGGAATCTAAGCAGTTAGGTAAGGAAGTGAAAAAAAGCAGGGCGGAGGGGAGGGGGGGGTGCAGAAGTGGCCCTGTGGCTCAAGTGGTAGAGGGCTAGCCTTGAGCTGAAGAGCTGAGGAACAGTGCCCAGGCCCAGAGTTCAAGCCCCAGGACTGACAAAAAAAAAAAAAAAAACTACCAATTTGTGCCATTTGTAATTGTAACCCCTCTGTATGGTTATTTTCACAATTTAAAAAAAGGGGGGGGGGGAGGGGAAAGGGAGAAGAAGGTAGGGGCTAATAAAGAAAATGGAGAAAGTAAATGGAAGTAAATGGTATAGAAGCCATGTAAGTCTTATTTTGTAAGCCTTATTGTAGAGAGAAGGGTATGGTCAAATTTTGGGACTATCTGAATTACTTCAGAAGCATACTGCAGTGCCCAGAGTAAAACATCAAGACCAGTTGGTTGAGTGGAGAAGAAAAGATCATTGGGTATCAGTAATTGTAGAAGTCAGAATACTGGATCTATGCTTTGGGTGTTGAAGATTCCCAGGATTATGCTTGAACTTGGATAGAGAGAAGAGAAGCATTCTTTGAACATCTTGATATTTCACTTAAACCTTTAGCAACCTTTATCCTTAAGTGACTACTCTCAATTACTAAAGAATATAAAGACAAGCCAGTCACCAATGGCTCACACCTGTAATACTAGTTACTCAGGAGGCTGAGATCTGAGGATCACAGTTCAAAGCCAGCCCAGGAAGGGAAGTCCATGAGATTCTTATCTCCAATTAACCACCAGAAAACTGGAAGTGGCACTGTGGCTCAAGTGGTAGAGCACTAGCCTTCAGCTGAAGAGCTCATGGACAGTGCCCAGGCCCAGAGTTCAAGCCCCCATGACCAACAAAAACAAAAAGAATATAAAAAGACAGTTTGTGAGAAATCATAAAATAGGAATCAGAATAACATACCTCTACAATTGCTTTTAGCAAAATAATCATGGTTTGGCTTTTTACATGTAAAATACCTAATAATATACAGAAAACCCAACATTCAACACATTATGCTAAGTATCATGTTGTTAAAGGAAGATTTATATTCATTTTTAAAATAGTGTTTGTTAGTATTCCTTTCAATTTTAAAGTTTGGAATTGCAGCAACCTTGGTCCAAGATAAAAATTTACCAAAATACTTCACTATGAGCTTATTCCTGGACCCCTAAAAAGGTTAGAAATACATCCAACGCACAGGTAGAGCCTTACACGCAAGCCAGCATAAAAAGAAGTTAGGTTTCAGATAAAAGAGAAAATACTGGTTATTTTCCTCTTTCTCCCTGATGTACTCGCTCATGCAAATCCCCAAGCCACACCTCCAAGAGGTCTGGAGCAGTAAATCCTGGTGGCCTCAAGAAACAGCATTGTTAATAAGTAGTCTGGTTATCCTTTAGTGAATCAGCTTCTAGAACTTGCAGTTACTTTTTTCAGTGCATTTTGTAGAAGATGGCATGATAAAGAGGATAAAGGTTTGTGGATATTTCATATTTTAATTTTTTTCAATTTGAAAACAGTAGAGACAAAATAATTATAATCAAGGAGATAGGTACAGGAAAATGGAGACATTTAATATTAACTACTGTCTTATCACTGGCCTTCAGTCAGGTAATATAATTCTTCTTGATTCATTTTATCTATTTACAAAAACTTAGGCTTTTTGTTGCTAAAGTTTATATCATTTCATAAAATAATAATAATGGAAAAAAAAAACAACCTCTGGAACCATCAGTCACCAGTGGCTCACGCCTGTAGTCCCAGTGACTAAGGAAGCTGAGATCTAAGGATTGCGGTTTGGAGCCAGACTAGGCAGGAAAGTCTATGAGACTTGTATCTCCAATAACCTACCCAAAATGCTAGGAGTAGAGCTGTGATTCAAGTGATAGTGTGCTAGCCTTGAGCAAAAAAGGAAGCTCAGGAACAGACTCTAGGACTGGTACAACAACAACAACAACAAAACACTACCTCTCAGGATCCCTAAATATTATGACTCTACTCAGAGAGTAACTACTCAGAGCAAGCTGAAAGTAGGAAATAGAGCATCTGAAAATCAAACACTGAAAACTGCTTTCTGAGAAAGATTCCTAACTAATAAACTGTCAAATATATTTATTTTCCCCCATGGAGCATAGCTTCTAGCAATTCATTTACCTAACAAATATTTATTGAGTGTCTTCTATAGGTCAGGCACTGCCAGTAATAGACATTGATAGTGGCATTGCTATGTCATGACTCCTGCTTTCCAAAGCCTCAAATGAAGAAAATATATACATATGACATAACTACTAGGCATAATTAACACAGTAAGATTCACCAAAACTACTAGGCTATTTTTTTATTGCCAAAGTGATATAAAGATATATACTCTCTCTCCCTATTGAAGATAACACAGGAGTTCATTTTCCCAATACAACAGCGATATACACAAGACATGGAAATGGTCTGTACAACTTGGGATGGGGGGAGGGAGAGGGATTTGGGGAGGGGGAAGTAGGAGAAAATTGATGGAAGGGATAACAAGGTTGACAAGAAATGTACTCATTACCTTACTTACATAACTGAAACCCCGCTGTCCATCATGTTGTCAATAAAAGAAATATTAAGGAGTTCATTTTCATCTGTGGTACAAATTTTATATCTTCCTTTAGAAAATAATCAAAATTTATTTAAGAGCTATGTCTTTTACTTACTAGATGGGATGTTGTGTTTTAATAATTTATTACTTTTAAACTAAAAATTGTACAAACAACTGTCCATTTAGCAAAGCAGTTTATGAGTACAATATATCTTGATCAATGTCACCACCTTCGACATTTTCACCCCTCACTCCCAATCCCCACCCCTTCCCTTACTCTTTTTTTTTTGGTCCGGTCATGGGACCTGAACTCTGGGTCTGGGCGCTGTCCCTCAGCTCTTCAGCTCAAGGCTAGCACTCTACCACTTGAGCCACAGCACCACTTCTGGCTTTTTTTCTTTTTGCTATGTGGTGCTGAGGAATCGAACCCAGGGACTCATGCATGCAAGGCAAGCACTCTACCACTGAGCCACCTTCCCAGCGCCTCCCTTACTCTTCTTAGTTTTGTAGAATATACTTTGGACTCTTGCCTGTGTCTTCTCCCTCTTCACCTCTTCATTCATATCCCCCTTTCCCCTTGGCCCCACCCACTCCTTTCCAGTACCCACTTAGTAAGTGGAACATTTTATATCTAAAAATAGAACAAAGTCAGTAGGTCTCATGTTATCTAAAGTTTAGATTAGATCTAAATTTCAAGATTAATATTACAATGAACAATATCACTATGCAACATTTTTCAGTGGGCAAGATCAAATGAATTTGTTTCAAGATCAAATGTTTTACTATATCCTAAAATTAACACTCGAACTATTGGCTCGGGTAGAGCACTTACCTGTATTTGATCCCCAGCTCTTCAAGCAGACAAAAACAAATAATAAAAAAATTAAACTATAAAGTACTTTGCAGTTTTGTCCGATTGATTTATTAACTGTGACATTTAAATTATTGAGCCCTCTTTTTTTTAATTTTCTTCATTGGCATAGAACTCTTAGAACTGAAAGTATTTATTTAATTGTAACAAGCTGAAGTTACTTAAGACTGTTTAAATGAAGAAAACATCAAAGAATAGTTTCACTATTTTACAAATAGTTCAATTATAATTTATAATAAAGCTGGAAGCTCTTCACTGAACATTTACAACTTGGTATTTGCAAAACTTGATTAATATTTTCATAAACCACTTTGTATTTAGTTTATAAATGAACATTGAAGTCCTGCTTATATCTTTTATTTTTTTCTTCCAGTTTTTCCTTCCTTTTCACCATTATGATAATTGAAAATGATACTGATAAGTATCAGAGCACATTTAAATTCAGGGATGCAAGGCCTGTGCCTGGCCTTAGTGGGTTTATACAACATACAAACTCATAATACGTAAGTTAAAAATATCAATAAAAGCCAGGCAGGCACCAATGGCTCCCCCTTGTAATCCTAGCTACTCAGGAAACAGATCTGGAGGATCTCTGTTTGAAGCCAGCTCAAGCAAAAAGTCCACAAAACTCCATCTTCAAAATAACCAGCAAAAAGCTGGACTAGAAATGTGGCTCAAGTGTTAGAACCAGCTGAGTAAAGGCCAGACCTTGTGTTTAAACTCCAGTATTCTGAAATAAAAATGATGATGATGATGATGATGATGATTAGATAACAGTGTAATGATTTTATAAACTATGTTTGAGGTAACTTACAGGCTACATACTATGTTCATTCCTTATGATCAAGCCTGAAATACTTGTTTTCAGAAAAGGAGTATGTCATTTTGTTGGTAGAAGGTATTTCTAGGCAAAGAAAAGTAGTGGGATCCAAATAGGACAAACACAATAGTTAAAGTGGATTAACTGGCCAGTGCACGTGTAGTCAGTGAAGGATGGGTTAATGAAAAAGACCACTCAGGAGAATATTGTAGGAATCTGTGACCAAACTCTAATATTTGGAATAGAAGCTATGTGACCTAAAGGTAATAGTAAAAACTTCTCATTGGAAATTCTTCTTTTTTCGGATAAGACAAGGAAAGCATTGCATCTCTTTTTGATGTTACATTGCACATTAACACATTTAAAGCTTATACCAGCATGATGGAAAGAAGTGACATTGATCAAGATTAGTTTTACTCATATACTGACATGTTGCATTGACAACTACTTAAAAATAAGTAAAAACGAACTTTAAGCCTATACCAAAGAAACCCATTATTTCACTAAATTATTATTACCATTTGGATATAAAAAGGTTTGTAACTGCATAATGATTCATATCTGTAATCCAGAAACTTGCAAGGCAGATGTAGGAGGATTGCAATTCAATGCTATCCAGAAAAAAAGTTAAGGAGACTCCAATCTATAACATAAGCCAGACATGGTCCTGCATGCCTGTAATTGTAGGCACTCAGAAAGCAGAAATAGGAGGATTGAGATCTGAGGTCTCACCTGGGCAAAAGAAATCTCTTTGAAAATCAGACTAAAAGCAAAAAAGACTGGCAGCATGGCTTAAATCAGAGATCATTTATCTAACCAGCCTGGGCCTTCAGTTCAAACCCATTACTAAAAAAAAATTAAGACTTTTAAGTAGTGTATACCATTCACAAACTCATTATTGGCGGGGGGGAGGGGGGTCCGGTCATGAGGCCTGAACTCTGGACCTAGGAGCTGTTCCTCAGCTCTTCAGTTCAAGGCTAGCATTCTACCACTTGAGCCACAGCGTCACTTCCAGCTTCTTTCTTTTTGCTTATGTGGTGCTGAGGAATCAAACCCAGGGCCTTAGGCATGCAAGCGCTCTACCACTGAGCCACCTTCCCAGCCCCACAAACTCATTATTGTGTTGCACTGATATTACTACTAAAAATTATGGTCTTATCAAATATATAGGCAATATAAGAATAAACAAAACATTGACAGAAGAAGGCTATGCCATCATTTAATCCAGATTCTATAACCTTGGTGATCAAAGACTGAATATACTTTTAACTTTGACAGTTTTCTAGTCAAATTAAGTAATAACTTTATATTTGTTTTCCATTCCTCTCCTTTCCTAAATCATAAAAAATACTCAAGAATAAGAGAAGTCCACTTAACACCATCTTTGTAATGTCTAAATGTTGTGGAAATGAGGTGATGGAGGAACATTGATTGAATTGAAAGTAATGAGAAAACTAGTTTGTGACTTCCTTGTGGTCACACAGTAAAACAGCAGGACATGGTGAAAATAAGTGAAGTAAAAATTAAATACATAAAGCTGGGCGCCGGTGGCTCATGCCTATAATCCTAGCTACTCAGGAGGCTGAGATCTAAGGATCATGGTTCAAAGCCAGCCCAGGCAGAAAAGTCCATGAGATTCTGATCACTAGAAAAAAAAAAGAAACAGAAGTGGCACTGTGGCTTAAGAGGTAGAGCGCTTGCCTTGAGCTGAAGAGCGCAGGGACAGCATCCAGGCCCAGAGTTCAGGCCTCATGACTGACAAAAAAATAAAATAAAATAAATACATAACCTAAGAGTACCATCGGGTGGGAAAGGAGTGGATTGGGAAGGATAGGTGAAAATGTAGAAACAAGATGCATTGTGTTCAGTTTGGATGTATGGCAACTCCTTCGTACAGCTACTTAAAGATAATAAAAAAAAAATCCAGAAAAAGAAAACAAAACTAAATGAAGTGTAGGAATACACATAAACTTTCACTATAGGAGTGCTAAATAGATTTGAAAACAGTTGGTATATTTTAAATGTAATTCTAAAACTAGCTACCAGTACAATCTTGAGGAAGTTCCTTAAACTCTGTGGGACTCTCATTCTCATCCACGTACCAGCCCCAAACTATTGACTTGTCTCCATCTTTTTGTTACTACAAATAATAAAAAATTAACTGCCCTTGGTTTATTCACATAGAAATACATTCTAATGACAGACCACAGTTAAATACACAAGTATTTAAATATACAAATATTTTAAGTATTTACTTTTGTTACATTTGTACTTATATAATATTCCTGAACTTCAAAACTTTTATCTTTTCTTCTTTTCCTTTCTTTTCCAGGCCCATCAAAGATGATCAAGTCTTTATAAACGAGCCAGTGTGTATGCTTATGTAATATTAGGGCTAAAATTTTAAACTTGAAAGCTCCAGTTGTCAGAAGATCATAAAGTCTTTACTTTTTAAGGACTGTTAAAAATCACCTTCTGTGAGATCTCAGCTTTGGGATTTTTCTGACATTTCAAGACTTAAATTTGAAAGTGTAGAATCTCTATAAATACAACGTTACCACAAGCCCAAAAAAGTCAAGAAATGCAAAGGTTAGATTCTTACTAACTGCTCTCCCACATGATGCTCTAAATTGAGATAAATATGTAATCAGGAATACTTGATGTGAAATATGATTTAAATTATGACATATTAAGTTTTTAATCTTTGAATTTTAGAGAATAAAATTGTGTATGTAAATCATGTAATGCCACATTTTTTGCATGTGCCCTTAAGGCTTTCATATGTTTTCTTCACATAGTCCCCTCATTTACAACTTTATCTTACTGTGGACTAACCATATGGGAAATCCACTATTTTAAACTTAAGCTATTTTGGTGGTGTTACTGCATAAGAAAATGCTTTTAGAGTAGAGAAATCATATTTTTTAACCAGATTACATAAATAAAACCCAATTTTTATCTACTGGTCATTCCTTAATTCATTTAAAAGTATGTAACTTTAATCCCTAAATATTTCCAGAAATTTTGCTCTGCTTTGGCTAATTGATAAAAGAAGGTAATAAAGGAGGCATGCTATGAGACCTGGCCATTTTCAATGTGCTGAATGATTTAAAATTATGTGTAATTTACATGAGACATATAAATGAAAGGATAGACTTCAGTAGGATTTTTTTTGCTATAAAAATAGGGTATTTCTCTCCAGCAGCAGCGCCTCACATCTCATACATATGTGCATATTTCGTTTTCTATGTAGCTTTTGGTCCCAAGAACACTAATTATAATTTTAAATTATCAATAAGATATAAGCTTTAGAGTACAGTCGATGTTGAATTTCTTATCTCCTGTAAGATTCGCTGTCTAAAGAAAGCTACTTTCTGCCTTTTTTCATTTTTAAGAAAATTGCTAAGAGCTTTATAATCACCTATATTTCACCTTTTAGAAGTTGAAACTTATTTTTGAGTTTATAGTGTGCAGGTAAGCATATTGCATTTTTTTTCTTCTCCCAGGTATTGGGGTTTTGAACTCAGGACTTCCTACTTACTCAGCTTGCTGGCTCAGCTATCATTCTATCACATGTCTTATAACATAAGTCATGCCTGGATGATTATTTTGGAGATGGGATTTTGAGAACCTTTCTACCCAGGCGGCCTTCCAACCATAATCCTCCAGATCTCAGCCTCCTGAGTAGTTAGGATTATAGATATAAGCCACTAGAACCCAGGCTTATATTGCTTTTATATCTAAGAAAAACATTACTGAGAATAATTCATCAGTGTATATCAAACAAGAAGTTAAAAAAAAAAAAAATAACACATATCCCTCAGTTCACACTGGACCACTTAAAAGTGTTTCTTTGAAGCTATTTATAGTATTTACAAAATAATTTGTCATTGTTAGTATGTCCAGTACTACTTGTGCCAAAAATCTTTAGTCACACTGCATTTAGATTTATTTTTGTTTTGTATCTTTCAAATCCTCCTGCCCACATTGAGTTTCATTGTCACAGCCAAAGTTTGCCAAATACTAGTTCTTTAAAAAGCCTTGATATTGCCAGGCATTGGTGGCTCACACCTGTAATCCTAGCTACCCAGGAGGCTGAGGATCATGGTTCAAAGACAGCCCGGGCAGGAAAGTCCTGAGACTCCAATAAACCACCAGAAAAAAAAAAAACAAAAAACGGAAGTGGCGCTGTGGCTCAAGTGGTAGAACGCTAGCCTTAAGCTGAAGAGCTGAGGGACAGCACTCAGGCCCAGAGTTCAAGCCTCATGATTGACAAAAAAAAAAAAAAAAAGCCTTGATAGTGCCCTCTGAAATCTACCCTGATTTTTATATATTTCTCTTCTAATGAAAAATCAACTGAATTACATAATTTTGTGAACTCACATAGTCGGTACAACACAGTCACACTGAAACTTCTCAGGAGCTAAAATGTGATCCTAATAGGAGGTACAACTTTGGGACCCATTTAAAAAGTTAACTGTCCTCTGAAGAATAAATATGCTGCTTTTTGCATACTAAGATTAATTCTGGGAACAATTCTCTTGGCCGAAGATATGCTATCCTCTCATAACACAGTGGGGTCCTGCAAGCATTTTCAGTGTGCTTTGCTATCATTTTCACTCATCCACTCAGTTGCTTCATTGTTACTATCTGATATACATTAACATTCGGCTACACAGTGGGTAAGAGGTAGAGGAAAGACTGAGAACCACAGGATAGGGAGGAAGGCCCAGTTTGTTCTCTCCTTGGCTGGATTCCATTTTGGAAACCTTGTTTTCCTTTGATGTGTAGAGTTTAATTGCTTATCTCTAAACATAAGGCTCAATTTGTGGGAGCTGGTATAGGTAAGGCCACTTGCCCTTTGCTAAATTTAAAAAAAAAAAACTGCAGTAAGTATGGTATAAAAAATGTTATTTTTGACTAGCCTGTTTGCCCAGGCTGCTTCCTGATTTATCTCATGACCTCACAGTAGCCTTTCGTGCCTGCCTGGCCACAAAGCTTGATTATTTTGTAATTTGATCTTAGTAGGGATTCCAGCCGTGCTTTCCTGCTCGTGGGCAGAATGTGGCAACATGCCTGCTCACTTGCTTGAGCTGCTATGATCAGATTATGCCTTCTCAGCGTTTCTTACATTGGCTGCCTACAAAGTTCAGAGAAGCTTGAAGTCAGCCCACTTGAGTTTTACAACCCTTAACAAAGGGAAATATAATAGGAACTATTTGCAAATATCTAAGAGAGTCAGAAAGTCACTGGACACTGAGTACGCCCCTATGTTTAAATTTTAAGTGAATTTTTTTTTGTACTACATAATTTTCCAACTCTTATTTGTCCAACTACCAATTGGCTTTTCACTTTCAGTTCTTAGACATTTCCATAATATGGTAAGGATCTTTATAAAAGATGTAGCTAATCTACAGTTTATTGTTGCTGTTGACAGCTGGTAATTCCGGGTCATCATAATTAGCTCACTTCTTCATATTGTTCTTTCAGCCAAAATATTTCTAGGATGATAATGTTTGTCAACATCTTTATAAGATAACGTGACTACCTCCTGTCTACCTCCTATCAGGGTTAGAAGAGGAAGACAACAATGTCCAGCCTGGCACTGTGACATGACACAGAAAATTGAGAACCCATACTGCTCTCATTTCCTTCATCGAGCAAATGTTGGTTGGGCACCAGAAATGTTCAGGCTCTCCGGGAGGCCCTGCTGATAAAGATACTAGATGAACACATGGTCCCTGTTCTTCTAAAGCTTAAATTTGAGTTGTGCAAATGAAAGCTCATATATCATAAATGTATTTAGGAGCTTTTGAAAAGTATGTTCGAAAATTCTAAAATTGGTAAGATAGGAACCAGAGAACTGGAAAGGACTTAGGAGCACCATTACTGAGACTTCTTCCTCGTGTGCAAAATATGCAATCCATTACTCATTGTTCAAAAATGAGGAAAAGATGATTGTAGGTTAAGATATCTAAAATCCAGTCAAAGCTCAATTAAAATGTTTGGTTTGTATCATTCATACTTTCAGTGGGCCAGCACAAAAGCTTAGAAAATGAAGCGTAAACAATGTGGTGCCAGTTTGCTTTAAAATCCCTAATATATGTTTTGTAAACAAAGCTTATAAAACTTAGTACTCTACTAATTAAATAACAAGAAAGATTTTATGAATACATGAAAAGCCAGAATTTAAAATGCCTGCAGGGGAACAGGTGCTGTAATGACATCACAGCGTGTCGTGCAGCTTTTTTTCCCCCTTGATACTTGTATTTGGTCATAATGGAAAGAAATTGATTCCAAATGTGTTTTCTTGACCCCCTTCTCCATTCATGTTAGTGCCTAACCTTAAATGATGTTTCTACAATCTCGGTTGTATTTACAGTAATTATATGCATAATGTAGCATATTATTGTCCGGACTTCCTGTTTAATCAGTACAGAGCTTCTTACAAGTGCAGCTGAAAAGGGCAAACAAAATTAAAGCTTTATATACCAAAACAAGTTTGATTTGCTAAGCTCCCAGCATTCCAAAGTACACAAATTTGTTCCACTAAGTTTTCCGATGGCTTGCAGATGGGCAATGATTAATCAGAGAGCTAACTGTGAAGTAGTTTGCAATTAAACTGGAAAGCTCTGAAGCATGCTAATTGAATCAGAAAATTAGAGACACTGAACAGTAATTGGCTATTTCTCATGCAGCAGGTGCCAGGCCACTCATCTGTGGAACAAGGTATTTAAGGCACATTAGCACTAGTAAAAATACTTCTTGATATGGAACAGTTAGATTTTCTGCTCATTTTCACCATGGATGTCAAAACATACAGCTGTGCTATCTGGTACTTGCAATTCATGTTTGAAGAATTTAAGTTAGGTAAACATATGGGAGGAAAGTACTGGGCAACCTCTAAGAGCACAAGCAGCATTTTCGAAGGAAAACCAAAAAATGAGGGGCTATGGTTTTGTTTTCTCAACTCAATTACTTTTTGCTTTCTTATCATACATTTTTAGAAGTTGAATTTTCTGTTTAGTGTTAGTTTAAAGCCACAACAGTATAAATCTAGTACTGCTGTGAGCTTTGTAGATACATAGAGCCAATTCATATCATGGCTCAGCATGAGTTTATATCTTCTAATTAGTACCACCATTTTATAGAGTGAGCACATGCTATGAAAGTTTGCTTGCCATACCCAACAGGGACCCGGACATGTAGTTTTTCTTTAGTGGAGCAATCTTGCTGTAGGATTGTGAACAACTGTAACCTAACCAGTGGGTGATCAGGCAAGAATGAGATTTAATGAGCTCAATTGTAGAATTTTTTTAATAATTGTTATTTTCGTATTATCAAGTGTGGGACATATGACTTCTCTCTCCCATTACTTTAATTAGAGTTCAATATTGTTATCAGAAAGTTAAAAGTACAAAGAAAAAGGAAAATAGACTGAATTATACTATGTTGGGAAGCAGAAAATTATAATATTCACATGCTACTCATATTCTTTAGCAGATGACTGCAGAAAATAAATAGTAAATTTGAACCAAGAGACATAAATTATAAATTATAAATTGTAAACAGTGCATAGGGGATGTATTATAACTATGTTCATTTAAATTAAGGCAGGGAGTTTTCTCTACACAAACAATATTCCTTCATTAAGTTTTAAAGTTTCTTTTACAATGTTTTATTAAGAACATTTGGCAATATGTTGCTAAAAAAGGTTTTAACTTGAACACACAGTTTATTTTTTAAGTACAAACATATAATGCTTTATGTCTTCAAGCTGTAGTTTTTGTTCATTTTTCTTTAGGTTAAAGTAAAACTTTCTCTTCGACAGACACTACCCTCTACCCTCCATCCCCCACCTCCGCTAGCCCACCATGTCCATTTTGCATTCTTTCGTTTGAAAGCAGTTCTGAAACATTTACATGATCAATGTCTTTTGCTTGAGGGATAAAGTTTGCTCTTCCATGGACAAGTGAGAACATATTGATCACTTTATTCTATTTGCTATTTCTAAATTCAATATACCTCTTGAGTCGATAAGCAAGATCGAGAGCACATTTCTTTTTTCAGTGTGCCTG